GGGGGGGGGGGCAACGGGAGGGGTACCGAGGAGCATGTGGGCACATTTAGGTGCGGACAGGGCACTGCCAGGGGACTTTTGGCACGGTATCACTCTGGGCATCGCCTTTAGTGGAACAATGAAGCCGCCTGAATCTTCGCTGGTTCCTGGGGCAGAGGACACGGCCCATGGGATGCCGGACAGCATTTAATTTTTAAAATTTTGTGCCAGACGCTGCCCTGCCGGGTGAATGTGGCACTGCCGGGGTACAGCGGTGGCCCAGAGGCCACCCCCTGGCTCCGCTGCCCGGCGGGGAGCGGGCACTGCGCGGCCGAGGGACATGTCCCGAACGGGACAGCGCTGCGGAGGTGTCTGCCCGGAGACTGGTGATGTCACAGCTCCCGGGATTCTGATTGGCTGGAAGTTTTGGAGGGGGGCAGCCCCCGCGGGGCTTGGGACATAGGGACTAGTTGGGACACGCGGTGGCAATGGGATGGCGGCCCCACTGCGTCGCCAGTTGGGTCCAGGGCCCGCGCCTGCCCCACAGCCACGTCATCAGCCTGCCTGTCCCACAGCCTGTCCCATAGCTGTGCTGCCTCCCCCATAGGTTCAAGCCATGGCTCTCTGCCCCACAGCCACGCTGAGCCTGTCTGCCCCATCGCCATGCCTTGTCCCCAACCGCCCCAGAGATACAGTGACCCCCTTCAGCCCCACAGCCACCCAATGCCCCCCATCCCATAGCCACCCAATTCCCCTCTCCATCCCATAGCCACTCCATGTCCCCCCTGTCCCACAGCCATCCTGTGCCCCACCCATTCCACATCCTCCCTGTGCCCCTCGCTGCCTCACAGCCATGTTCTGGCCCCTTCCACAGCCCCCTTGGCTCCACAGTGCCCCATAGCCACCCTGTGCCCCCCACCTTCTGCCCTCTAGTCACTCTGGACCCCCTTGGCACAACTGTGTCCCCTTCTGTCCCGCACCCACGCAATGCCCCCCCTGCCCCATGTCCCCACGTGCCCACTTGTGCCCACTTTGCTCTCCCCGTGCCCCCCACCCCCTTGCCCCCCATCAGTGGCACCTCTGGCTGTTCCCAACGCCGAGCACAGCGCTGCCGCGGTCAGAGATGAGGTCCCGCTGCTCCTCTGCCATGTCTCCGGTGGGCTCCCCGGTGGAAATGAGCACCCCGAGCTCTGTCCCTGGAAATACCCCCCCGGTCCCCACCCTGCCCTGACACCCGGGGGGGAGCCAAAAAAAAAAATCCTATTGGCTGCTGGCAGTTGCATCACTTGTTGCCAGGCAGAGCTCTGCTCCACAGGTCTCCAGTACAGAGTTTATGCTGGGCTCGGTGGGCAGGATCGAGGCCGCTCAGGGCGGCATCGCAGCCCACCCCACGCCACGGGCAGCTCACAGTGCCCAGCCTGGTGACACCAGTGACGTGGGTCTGGGGGCTCTGGTACCCCTGGGGGAAGGGGGGCAGGAGGTGGTATATGGAGGGGGAGCAGGAGGTGAGAAACAGGATGCGGTGTTGGGATGGGGGAGGTGAGGGACGTGTGAAGAAGGAAGTGGGGTCCAAAGGTGGGTTACCAGGCGTGGGACACCGTGGGGAGAGACCCCACACCCAAGACTGAGAGCAGAACCCGCTGTGTGAGCACACTGTCAGGGTACACCCTCCTCACTGACCTGCACTTCGGCTCAAACCCTGGTTTGAGGGTCACTTCGGACCCCCCTGCCTGGGGGTGCTTGGCCAGCCCTTCTCAGTGTGAGGGGGGAACAATTCAAGGACTAAGGGCTTTCCAGCCCTCCTTGCTTTGCCTGCAGCAGCTTCCAGAGGCTGAGCCCCCAAAGCCAAGAGAGGAGGAGCAGCCCCTCAAGGAGAGCGACTCCAAAGCACCAGTGGGAGTGCTTTGGGAGCACTGGGGGTTCCCAGCCCTCCCCACAGCTCTGGAAGGGCTACATGGGCGAGAGCAGCCACCCACACCATAATGCTGGGGTTTGGTGATTTTATTCAAGGTATCAGGGTAGCCCCAGGGGTAACACCCTCCCAGTGCCCACACTGAGCCAGGGTCACACTGTGCCCAGCACCAAGATGGTTCCAGCATCAGGATCCAGCTCCAGCATCGGGATCCAGCTCCACTGCGCCCCGGGCTCAGCCAAAAGTGAAACTACGAATGAGGAACTAAAAACCAGACACCACTGGTTACCTTGCAAACCTGCTGGGGCTGGTTCATCCACTCCTTCTCCTGGGTCAGACCTGAGCCACCTGGCTGGAGGGGTATGCTGACAGCCCTGGCTGTGCCTGGAGAGCAGAAGGGATCATCATGGAGCATTTCCAGGGAGCAGGGCAGGGTTTCCTGGCAGTTGCTCTTCCCAGAGGAGGCATGGTGGGACAATGCTCAGGCTTCCCAGGTGGGAAATTGCAGCCCCACTGTAGAAAGGCTTAGGTGCCTGGACCTGGTCCCATCCACAGGCTCCTGTGACTCAGCTGGGAAAGCCCTGGGCACTCAGGGGTGCACAGAGCACCAGGTCAGGGGTGTCCATCAGCCTCACCCCAGGCTACCAGTGATAAAGCTGTACCTAGAAACCATCAGAGCTGCTTGAAAAGAAAATAAAAAGGGAGAGAAAACAGAGAGAAAAGGGAAAAAGGAGAAGAAAAGGGGGGGGGGGAGCGGAGGAAAAAAAAGCTAAAAAAAAGGAAATAGAACATAAAAGCTTTCCATAAATTTTTTGTCTCTCTCCTTGTGGGCAGTAGGGGTTCTGGGAGACACACAGGTTTTTCCTCGAGGCCCCAGACCTCACTCAGCTCCTCATTTGGGGCACAACCCCTGCCCCGAGGCCACGCTCCAGGCGCATTCCGTGACCAGCCTCAGCCTGAAGGGGAACCAGAGAGAGTCCGAACAGGAACTTGGCAAGTGAAACCCCAGTGATTCCATGGAGCTGGGCCCGGCTCTGCAAACCACAGATGTGGGTGATAACCTGGGGGTGGGGGAGGGCCCTGTTGCCCCTGGCAGGCTGAGCCCCTCAAGCCCCAGCCCAGACGGGCACGGTCAGCACAAAGCCAGCCCTCACTACACACACAGACACCCCCCATCAGCTCTTCAGTACTTCACCCCCCCACACTTTCTGCCCGTGGCTGTGGCATCTGGTGTTTCCAGTTTGTAAATCGATTTTCCAGGGAAGATGCAGACCCTCTCAGAGAGCAGCTTCCATCCTCTCTGACCTTCCTCATTCCCCCTTTGCACAAGGCTGGCACTGGCTCCTCATCATCCTGTTGCCCCAAGGCTTTGTGTTTGGTGCTGCCCATAAAAACTCAACAAGCACCATTACAGGAAGCTGGGGAACCAGTTCTCTTTTTTTGGGGAAAAAAAGCCATCTGGAGAGAGGAGTGGCCTCAGGATTGGGCTCAGACCTGCTGAGGACCAGGCCGGCAGAGCAATTATTTGAGGCAGGCAGTTGGAATAATCCAGGTGCATTCACAGGAAGCCGTTCATCACCAGCTGGGCCTCGTCTCACAGCTCTCAGCCCCCAGACCCTGCACAGATTAAGGTCTGGGGAACAGACACACATTTCCCACTGCCCCTAAGGCGATGCCTTCAACACCTCAGGCACACACATCCCACTCCTGTGCAGCCCGGGAGACATCACCCAGCTACAGGGGGGTTGCAGGTGATGCAGTTCCTTGCTCAATCACCCAAGACAAATCACCTGGGTCAGGGTAGGGACTGCCAAGAGCCATGAAAGCCATCCATGCTGCTCTGACAGGAAGGTCTTTTTCTCCAGAAAGGAGACCTGCCAGGCAGCCAATCTGTGCTGGATCTCCAGTTTCTCTTCCTCATTCACCATTTCCCCCCTGGGGATTACACACCGACGCAGGAAGCCATTTCAAAGACGTCAGGTCTGCCAAGAAATCAAAGCAATTTTTGCCATTAATTGTGCAGCAAGTCCAGAGAACAGCCTGCCCATAGCACATCATGTCCAGGGCACCAAGTGGCACAGGGTGGGTTGGGTGTACAGTGGCTCAGCCATCCCTGTGCACCCAGCAGGGCTCCAGTTTCCAAGGATTAAGGGTTAATAGAGCAAATCCACCTTCACGGGGAGCAGACACCTTCCCACTTCTACATCTGCCCTTAAAACCAGCAGGGCTGAAATGGCCTGGACCAGGCTGGCCCTGCTGGGCCTGGGTAGGCAGCAGAGGGAAAGGAACGGAGTAGAAACATCTCAAACTGCACCCAGAGATGAGCTCAGTTTGTGCCGCCACAGAAGGTCCTGCCTTGGATTTGTTAATTGTGTAGAGTTCTCCCCAAACGTGCCCCGTGAAGCAGCCATGCTGATGTCCCCTGGGATGGAGCATTACATAGAACAGCAAGTTTTCCCTGTGTTCAAGAGTTTATTATAAAACCACTGACTGGAGCTGTTGGTCACGCACACACACACACACTCCCTGCGCTCCCCTCCTGCTCCGCCTCTGTTCAGCTCCATGTTGGCTGAGCTCCTGCTGGTTTTCTGTTTGTAGCACGCTGTCAACACTAAGTTCAAAGAACGCTTTAAGTACAGGAAAACAGCCGTTTGAGCAGCAAACAGTGCACTTTTAGGACAGTAAGGGAAGTTTATTCTAGAATTTTCCTGGCCGCATAAAAAACAACAAATAAAGCACTATGGCTGTGCCAAGGGAAATGCTGGCTTAGGAACATCTGCACAGGCAGAGGATTTTTTTCCACAGAAAGGGGAAGTGATGTAGTAAACAGCATTTTGCAGAAAACCCAGCAGTCGTTTCTCAGTCCCAGCCCAGCTTTTTTTTCCTCTGGCAAGGACACTTCCAAGAGACCATGACTCAATCTGAAAGCACAAGTATCCGAGCAGCTTTTGCTATGAAGCCCAAGACCCACCATGGCTTTGGATCAGCCAGCCTAGTTTCCCCCACTAACATCCCCCCAACCCAGAGGCCCAGCTCCAGAGCCCAAGCCATCCGTGGATGGAATTACACGGAAGCCCAGCACACCCCAGAAAGAAAACACAGCTGAGCAGAGGTTTAAGAGAGCTTTAATAAACAGAAGGTGCAGCGCTGTTCACAGACGACGTCCACGGCGACCACCCTTCCTGCGAGTGCTGTCGGAGGGGATGGGGGTGACATCCTCTGCAGGGGGAAGAAAACCCAAAACACAGTTACCTTGCAGAGATACCCCCAGAAATCAATGGGGCACAGCCATCAACCCCAGCCATCACCCCAACACCCCACAGCTACCTCGGCAGTGCAGGAGCCGCACACGGACAAAAGGAACTCTCAGCAGAGTGAAGCTATTTGGGAACTTGCCATGAGCTGGGTACCCAGGGCTTTTAATGCAATATAGGAAGCAAAATTTCCCAGCTTCTGTTCCACTTAAACCAAGCAGCCACAGGGTTTCCAAAGAAACAGAGGATGGCTCATGAATTTTCAGCACAGCAGCCACCACCACAGCTTCTTGTGACTCCCTCACAAAGTTCAGGACTCTCCTCCAACAGTTGGAGAACTCCACTATAACTGAGTCACCGTCTCAAGCTGAGACCAACAAGGTATTTTTAGGTGACTGAACAGCCCTGGGACAAGCACTGTGACATCCAAGGAACAGTGGTACCCTACCCTGTACACAGAAACCTGAGTTCTGAGTTGTGCTCTCAGCACCTCCTGAGGAATCGTCAGTTTAGGGATCCGTTTAAATTAAATCCTTCCTTTGGTGCCACCAGAGTGGCCATGAAGAACATCCCAAAGTTAAACCATCAGACCAAGCAGCACACATGCCTATAAAGCTCCTTTTACTGATTAATCCCTTTCTCCCTCACTCACCAATGCGGCCAATCTTCATCCCAGAGCGGGCCAGAGCTCTCAGGGCCGACTGAGCACCGGGTCCAGGAGTCTTGGTCCTGGAGGAGAGTCAGAACCAACAACCCCTTAAACGACTCAGAAGTTGAACAGAGTTTACAAACAACTAGCAATATTAAAATCCCACCTTCCCCATCCCAAACCATCCTCCTCCTGTCCCAGGCCCAAACCCTTCACCATCAGCCACCACAGTGTCCCTGTGATGTACCTGTTCCCCCCAGTTGCACGCAGTTTGATGTGCAGGGCGGTGATGCCCAGCTCTTTGCACCTCTGGGCGACGTCCTGGGCCGCCAGCATGGCCGCGTAGGGAGAGGACTCATCTCTGTCCGCCTTCACCTTCATCCCACCGGTCACACGGCAGATGGTTTCCCTACAGAAAGAAAAGGTGACACTCAGGAGAAAGCCATTCCTTGTTCCTGCCCCCAAACCAGCTTCTGGGTAGGGACAGCACCTGTTATTGTCAAGGTTACCAGATCAATAAACTGCCACCCGGTACCCTGAGTGCAAAATTGATCAGAGGAGCTCACCAAGCCACCTGGTTTGTGTACACACACCATCCCATCGGGCTCAGCAGAAACTCCAGGACTTTGGTGGAACCTCTGGCCAAGCCTAGTTTCTGTTTTCACACCCGAGGGAGCCATTTACCACAGCCAGGTGATGGGTGTTCAGTACTCACTTGCCAGAGAGATCAGTCACGTGGACAAAAGTGTCATTGAAGGAAGCAAAGATGTGGCAGACACCGAACACATTCTCTCCTTCAGCAACCTGCGGTCCCAAGCTGATGACCTGCTCTTCCTTCTTCTCCTTGCCCTTACGAGGTGCCATTTCTGAACAACAACCAAAGAGAAGTGATGCTAGGTTTCTCAGCATTGCTAAAGGACTTTATAAAATTCCTATTATCCCAACCAAGCAAGAAAAATGAGTTACCACTGGCAAAACAGAGGAAGCAGTTTGGGGGGTACAGGTGCATTTCTTACAAACCCCAGGATTCTCAGCTTTGCTGCACAGTGGCACATGGATCACCACCCACAGCTGTTTAGTTGGGTCTCTCCTGCTGCACTTGTCCCCAGGCCCCACCAAAGCAGCACATGAGAGAGGCCCTTTCCTTGGTAATCAGCAGTGCCAAGCACTTCCCTTTGTTTGTGTGGCTTCATGGAAAGAAAATACCAAGCCAAACAACTACTAAAGACCTCAGTTGGTCACCGAGCTCCAACTCTGCACACCTTTTAAGTACCAGCTTGGGTTCTTCCATGTTACTGCTCTCCTAACCACATCCCTGGGACTAGCCCAGATAAATCTTTTGCCTCTGAAGACGACACCCAGCGACGGGAGATGGCAGACCCGGCACTGGGCTGTTTGTTTTGGCGGCCATGGACCCCGTGCATCTGCTCCCGAGCACAGGAAGACGGTCCCCTGTTGCCCTCTCCTGCCAAACACTTGCTACAGCCGGCGCCCTGCACAGGCGAGATGTCCAACCACTTCGCCCAGGAAACCAACCCCAACAGAACCCGCGTTCACCCTCGGCGGTCCCGCCTCCGCAGGCAACATCAATTTACATCAATGCCTGCCGATAGCGCCACGTCCCCTTCCCGACACATCCCCAAGCTCCAGGGACAGCGCCGTCCCCGGCCCAGCGAGGCCGACACGGCACAGGCAGCACACGCTGCAGCGCCGGCATCGACCCCCGGGCGCCGGCCCCGCCGCTCCCCCGCGCTCGGGGCACAGCCCCGGCCGCTCAGGGCCGAGCCGCCCCGCATCCCCCAAGCCCCGCAGCTCCGCTCCGCCCGCCCTGCGCTCCCCCGCGGCCCCGCTCGGCCGGGCGCGCCCGCCCCGCGCCCGGAGCGCTGCCCCGCGCAGCGCCGGGTCCGTGAGGGCGGGAGGAGGGCCCGGGGCCCGCGGCGAGGCGCGGGCGGGCGGATGGCGGCGGATGCGGGGCAGCCCCGCACTCACCTGCCCGTCTGCTCCGGCGGCCGCCGCGGAAAGGAAGCGGTAAGGGTCAGGGGGCGGGCGGCACCGCCTCACCCGGAAGGGATGGCGGGACGTGGCGTGTCCCCGACGGCAAGCACAAGGCTGTGCCCCGGTCCCAATCCAGATCCCAATCCCAATCCCAATCCCGGTCCGGATCCCGGTCCCGATCCCGCCACGCCGGACGCCGCCGCCACACCGTGACCGGCGCTCCCGAGGCCAAGCAGCGCCGACCTCCCCAAGATGGCGGCCGCCTCCCTCCACCGCTCCCCTTCCGCTCGACCTTCCCAAGATGGTGCCGCCGCGGCCGCCTCGGCCCCTCCCGAAGATGGAGGCGGACGCGGTTGGGTGTTGGGGCTCTTGACAGACCCGCCCAGGGAGAGCTTTGGAAACGAGTCAGTGTAAAAAACAACCGGATGGAGGTGGCTGTAACTCCAGGACGCAGCCCGTTTCTGCCCGGCTGCACAGGGGGGAACTCAGCCATGTTGGGGCACAGAGGCCTTTCCCCCTCGCTCCGCTGTGGGGACTGAGCGCAGCGAGGTGTCGGGGGGGTCTCCAGGTAGCTGCTTGTCCCTGCCCCGAGCTCAGACAGGAGCCCTGCCTAAAAGGAGGTGCTTGACAATTCACCCACAAGGGGATGTGCGTGGTGGCTCAGTGGGTGTAAGTCTGGAGTATTTTTCATCAAGGAGATAGTGGGAGAGGTTTCAGTCCAGTGATTCTCTGTCAGGAGCTCCGGCAGCTGATGGGAGCAGTGCAGACTGTGCAGCTCTGAGCGATGGCAGAAGCGACCAGAGCTGTGATCAGGGAGGTTTGTTCCACCTCCACAGCAAAATTTGTAAATTTCTACATCAAGGTGGTCCTGCAAGCTAATGCTTTCTGATTCCAAGTCATTTAAAAAGCACTCGGAAGAGTAAAGACAGGGAACATCAAAGACCTTTAGAAAAGAGGCAGGTTGCAAACCTGTGGCGCTGCCACCAGGGAGAGGAGGTTTGGTCCATGAGGCTCTGCAGTCCCCTGTGCCAGGTTTCTTCCCTGGGAAAACCCTCTGTGCTCAGGGATGCCCGTCCTGACCTGGTGGGCCACCCTCACTCACTCCCGTCTTTGTTACCCGTTTGCCACTGCATCAGGGATCTTCCAGTTTAAATATTGAAGGAGAGGTTTTTAAAATATACATTGGCAGCACGGCTGTAATTCCAGCCGGGGGCTCCAGTGACAGCAGCTGTGCCCTGATTTGGAGGAAGGGGGAAGGAAGGAGCCAGCAGCAGGGTGTACTGCAGAGGTCAGCCTGCATCAGGCCATGAGTGGCTGCGGGTGACCCATCTGAGGAGGAGCCTGGGGACAGCCAGGGGTGTGTGGCAGCCAGGCAGGGTGGGTTTATCCCCGTGGAGCCACGCGTGCGGGGCTGGCTGTGACAATCCTCGGTGAGGCTTGTGCCAGCCTATGGATGTTGTCCTGGAACAGACGCAAGCCAGAGGCAAAGAAACAAACAAGTCTTCACTTATAGGAGTAACAGGCTGGAATAACCAGATGAGCTGCTAAAAAAATTACCCATCGGTTCAAAATCCCACAGTGCCCTCAGCCCCAAAGCTGCTTGGGAAACAGGCTGCTCCTGGTCCCTCTGGGCAGGATGGGGCTTTCCTCACTCCCTGGGACACATTCTTCCCTTTCACTTTGCCTTGCACTAGTCCTGGTGTATCCACAAGGGAACTGCCTACCCTGCAAAATGTTCCTGGGGCTCGAATGCCAGCTCCAGCCAGGCTGTCCAACTGCCGAGGACAGCACTGAGAGCCTTTCCAGGCTGGGATGAGCAAAAAGGGAGGCACTGGGCAGGGGCTGCAAGGACTGTGTCCTCCAGCCTGCCGGGAAGGGAAGGATGCTCAGGCCAGGGTGAGGTCAGTGCCAGAGATGATGTGTATTTGCTTTGAGAAATCCCCCAGATTTATTTCCTTAATGGGTAATTAACATTCCAACTGCTCCTCAGTAATAGCCTCTCCAGCCCATGGGAAACCCACAGACAGGGTGACGCTGCAGGCGGATTTCATAACTCAGCCAGTGACTAAACAAAAAGGCCAGGGAAATGGGAATGTAGCTCCCAGCCTCTCCTCCTGTGGGGCTTTGGCCTTGGAGTAAACTGGTTCAGGCTGAGAGGGGTCAGTGGGAAGTAAATGGCCTGACCTGTGAAGGTCTCAGCTCCAGGCTTCCCACAAGCAGGAATTTTTGGTGCTCAAATATCCCTGTTTCCATGGCTGCGACTTGTTCTCACGAGCCACCAGACCAGTGGTGGCCTTGAAACAGAGACTGGAGCTGGAATAGGCCAAAACTCTTCCCACAGCAGGATGAACCCCAGCTGTCTCCCTGGTATGGAGTAAGGTCTGCAGTCCTGGCTCTTTCACAGGCCCCTCAAAATGGCATCTGTCCTCTAACAGCCCTGGCAAAGACACATTCAGGTTCCTGAGTCCACCCATTCGCAGGTAAAAGAAGAAAAGTTTTCTGTTTGTTTTTAAGGCAGCTTTTAGTTTCAGAAAGGCAGCTTGTGCATGCACACATGTAAATGATGTGTCAGAAAGAGGCATAAGAAGATTAAAACAGAAATGTCCAACACTGAAGTTAAAGCACTTAAGGAATTGGCAGAGACTTCAAGAGCCAGTTTCTGGTCCTAATGAAGTCAGTGGAAGTGCTGCCATGGACTTCAAGGACCATAATTTGGCTGTAACTCAGTAGGGAGCTGAAAGTGTTGATTAATAAATTGGAGACAATGTGGAGGAAAGCCGCGGAACTGCTTTCCGACAGATGTGCTGAAGAAGAGCCTGTGAGTTAAAGCACACAGGAAAGGAACTGGTTTCCTTTGTGTTTGCAAACAGAAAACAGGAGGAAAAAAAAAAGCTACCTGATACTCATGTAAAATGGCAGAGCTGGTATTAATAAACCCCAGTGCCTCTCTGAGCAGCCTTCTGTTTCCAGCGAGCCAGTCATTCTTTAAAAAAAAAAAAGAAGTATTAGCAAATGTCAGACCAAGAATTCAACAAATTCCTTTTTCACAGAAGAAATTATTCAGTGGAAAACTGTACCACTGGAGACTGTGGATTCTGCAGATTGTTCCTGGAGTTTGGTGCGTGCCTTTGATTACTCATTGCTGGCTTTTTGCTCAATGATTTGTGCATGAATCTCCTCTGGCAGAGGTTAGCATGGCCTCGGAATGCTGTTCCCGGGGGACATACTTTTTTCAGGCTGAGTTTGCAAATCATTTAAGGCTGAAAAAAAACATAATCTCTTTAATACCTTTTACAGCAGTTTGCAGTTGGAAAACTTGCTGTTTGTCCCTTTTTGTTTTCTGAGCTTTCAAGTAACTTTGGCGTTGGCAAGTTATTCAGGGATCTTCGGAGAAAAGGCTTGTGAGGGAAGTGAAATGTTTAAGGATAAAGAAATCTTTGACTTCAATAAATGCCTCAGAGCCCGTTAGAAAATTTGAAGCCGTAATTGTCTGCCATTCTTTGTGTCTCTTTCCCTACGATTTCCTTTCGTCTTTTCTTTTTGTTTATTTTTCTGTCTGTTTCATTTGATTGAAATTGCTTCCTCGACTCCAGTTCAGTCAGAAGCTCTCCCAGAACGGGCTGCCTAAACCAACCCCAGCAGACCTGCCACATCCTATCCCTGTGAGCTGGACATGAAACTTTTCCCCATGGACTGGACATGGAACCTGACAGGGTTGTCTTAGTGCACCGCATCCCTTCTGACATGGGCAGTAAGATGGACCTGAGTGGCTCGTGCTGGTGGCTAATGTGGGCTCCGTTCCCCTGACAGAAACATGTCCCCGCATGCTGTTGGTGTCCTCAGCAGCCTCTAAGGGCAGGGCAGGGGCAGGAGTGGAGCAGCTGAGCCCTGTTAAGCTCATTTTCTTCCTCTCTGAGGAATGAAGGGAATTTTGTGTGTGTGTGCATGCAGGTTGGAGGCAGCCAGCCCGTGACTTGGACGTGGCCCTTGAGCTTGTCTTGGAGCCGCGGCGGAAAAGCTGAAACGATGTGGTGTACCAGCACTCTGAACCTGGGTTCTGCGGCTGGGGAGGAGGATGAGGACAACCTCAGGCTTGGCTGGCTTCAAAACTCTGACACAAAAGGTGTGCATACACTGGGGGAAGGATGAAAGGGCTCCATGTAGGAGCCGTGAGCCCGACACCCCAGTTCCACCAAACACACTGCCCCGGGGGCCGTCCCCTTCGCACACCCCATCGCGCTCATCCCGGTGAACCGCGGGAGCCGGGGGGGGCCTCGGTGGGAGCATCGCCGGGCACATGGATCATCACAGGCACTGGGAGCCCGGGATCAGAGCCCTCCTGCCGGGGGATTATCCCGGGCTCACGGTCACCCCGGGGACTGGACGGGGCGAGGAGCTGGGCGGGGGCACTGGGGCAGGGGCACCCCGAGCCCCGCGGTCAGCGCTGCCCGGGCCGCAGCCCCGGCGCTGCGGGAGCCCCGCGCGGCCCCCGGGGCGGTGCTGGCGGGGGCGGCGGGGGCGGTGCCTGCCCGGGCGGCGGGCGGGACGCGCCGAGCGGGGCCGGGCCGGCGGAGCCCGGCGGAGCGGGCGGCGGTGGAGGCGGCGGCCTGGCGGAGCGGGCCCGGCGGCGGCGGCAGGTACGGCCCGAGCGGGGCGGGCGGCGCAGACAAAGGGCGGGTGTGCGGGCGGGAGGCAGCGCGGGCCGGGCCCCGCACCGCCCCGGCCGGGCTGCGCCGGGGTCCGGGCCCGGCGGCTCCTCCCGCCCCGCCGGCAGCCGCGGCTCTGCCCTGTGCGCTCGGGAGGAGCCGGCCCGGGCGGAGCGGGGCGTCCGGCGGGGAGCCCAGCGCCCCGAGCGGGCCGGGGGGGACTCGCCGCACGGGGGGCTCGCAGGAGGCCGCGCGGGGCCGGGGGTGTCCCCGCCCCGCCGCTGTCCCGGGCACCGGCCACGAGCAGGCGAGGCCTGGGGCGTCCCCGCTCCGCAGGGGTGCGAGCGGCGTTGGCCGAAGCCATGCGGGACCAGCGCGGCCCAGAGCCGGTGTGGAGGTTCACACCTTGCGCATGGCACGGCTTGGCCGCTCTGGCTGGTGCCCCTGCCAAGCACCTCGCTACCCCCTCTGGAAGAGGTCCTGGCTTTTTCCCAGCCACCGGTGAGCTCCTG